GAGTTCCTGAACGGAGTTTTGACATAGAATTGTGGGCATGTGTTTGTGTTATGGATGCGGGTTTGGGCGTTTTGAGTCTCAGGCACGGTTTGGAAGCGCTCATGAATTTGAGGTACCGAATATGGTTTAAGATCGGCTTAGTTAAGTTGTGCTATAATGTGCATGTTAATCGAAATGTATAAGTTTATTTTGATGATATGTTCAAGAAAGCATAGGGTTTGGTTTAGGGACAAGGTATGAGTCGCACGTCTGGTTCTCATGCTTAGGGTCTGGGTTGGAGGTCTTGTTGTGATGATTATGGTCCGGGTCACATGTCGGGGTCAGGGTCCAGGTCACAGGTCCAGTTTAGGGTCCCCGTATGTACGTTGATCTTATGTTAAACTAAGCATCCGAGTCCCCCATGTGTGTTTTCATGATGTGGTCTGTTCTATTGAAATTTGTCCAAGTCCAGCGTTTGGCTAAGTGTCTGGGTTGCCGAATGGAGTAGAATTGTGGGACTGTGTTCGAGTTCCGGATGCGGGTTTGGGCGTATTGATTGTCAGGTATGGTCTGGAAGCCCCCATGAATTCGAGGTACAGATTTGGGTTTAGATCCGCTTAGTGAAGTTTTACTACAATGTGCATGTTCATCGAAATGGATAAGTTTATTTTGATGATATGTTTTAGAAAGGATAGGGTTCGGTTTCAGGTCAAGGTTTGGATCGCTGATCTGATCGTGATGCTCTGGGTCCGGGTTGTCGGGGGCGGGATTTAGGTCACAGGTCTGGGTGCAGGTCCCCGTACGTAAGTTGATCTTATGTTCAACTAAGCATCCAGGTCCCCCTAGGTGTTTTGATGATGTGGTCTGTTGCATTTGAAACTTTGTCTACATACAGTGTTTGGCTCAGTGACGTCGAGTCTCAGGTACGGTCTGAAAGCACTCATGAATTTGAGGTATCGAATTGGGTTTAGGTCGGCTTAGTGAAGTCGTGCTACAACGTGCGTGTTCACCTAAACGCATAAGTTAATTTTGATGATATGGTTCGGTTTTGGGTCAAGGTCTGGGTTGCAGGTCTGGTCGTGATGCTTAGGGTCGGGGACGTATATCGTCGTGAGGGTGTACGCCACAGGTCTTGTTTAGGGTCTCCGTATATACGTTGATGTTATATTCAACAAAGCATTCAGGTACCGATTTTGTTTTTGCTGATGTGTTCTATCACATTTGAAACTTTGTTTAAGTCCTTCGTCAGGCTCTGTGTTTGGGTTGGTGAATGGAGTTTTGGCATAGAATTGCGGGCCTGGCTTCCTTTTGTGGAAGCGAGTGTTTGGCGTCTTAAGTCTCACGTATGGTTTTGAGGCACCCGTACATTTGAGGTACCGAATTGGTTTTAGATCGGCTTAGTGCAATCGTGTTGCAATGTGCATGTTCAACTAAATGCATAAGTATCTTTGATGATATGTTTAAGAAAACATAGGGTTCGGCTCTGGGTCAAGTTGTGGGTCGCAGGTTTGATCGTAAAGGTCGGGGTTAGGGTCCCCGTATGTACGTTGATCTCAAGTTCAACTAAGCGTCCGGGTCCCCGTATCTATTTTGAAAATATGTTCTGTTCCATTTGAAGCTTAGAATTGCGGGCATGTGTTCGAGTTGCGAATGCGGGATTGACTGTCTTTGGTCTCAAGTATTGTCTTGAAGCATCCATGAATTTGAGGTATCGAATCGGATTTAGATCGACTTAGCAAAGTTGTGGTACGATGTGCATGTTCATGTGAATGTATAAGTTAATGTTGATAACATGTTTAAGAAAGTATAGGGTTCGGTTTTGAGTCAAGGTCTTGGTGGCAGGTCTGGCCGTGACGTTAGGGTTAGGGAAGCAGCTAGTAGAGTTAGAATCTGGGTCGCATGTCAAGGTGACTCTTGCAATGTTTCAAATAACCGATCGCTTCATTTCGACGAAAAAACTACAACCCCAAACCATGAGCATTGCGGGCTTACTGCTTACACGTCAAACTATTGCAAAATATTTATGATAATTTTTTTTTTCTCACCTCGATTTATGTTTGTTCATTGTCTTTTTAATTCCTTACTACAACGTGGAACTCATCTCTTTTGCAGGGCTCCTGTGAAACACGTTTGTCTTTGCTGCATTTCTGAGTTGCGTGCCCTGTTGTGCATTCGGAAAGTAGTAAGCACTTTCTCCCTTGCCAACCCATTTTGGAGTGAGAGACTTTATTTTCTTGCAATATCGCTCTGAATGATCGTATGCCACTCTTTTGTTCTTTTTTTTTTCCACTGTTTTTTTAGATGGCCATAATTTTTATTTTTTTTTCTATGTTGTGACCACACTTTTACGAAAGCTGTTTTTTTTATTCTCTGAACGTAAACACGACGTGGGAGTCCATCTGAGAATAAATCTTGGTTTCATGTCTAAAAGTGTATCGGWCTGGGATTTTGGCTTCATGACAGGGAGTCGGGACTGTGATTGGGGATTAAGACAGGGGATTAGGATCTTGTACTTGGTAATGCAACCCGGGACCGGGGATTTTGGAGTGGGTGCTCACTCAAAAATCTTGGTCAAAGACGGGGCAGCTGGTTCATATGGCACCCAGTCATCCTGTCAGTGTGTGGGTTGCTCCTATACAGATGAAGATTGTAGTTGAAAGATAGGGCAGCTGGTTCATATGGCACCCAGTCAATAGTGCAACCAACCAACCAACATGGCAATCGTCATCCTGTCAGTGTGTGAGTTGCTCCTATACAGATGAAGATTGTAGTTGAAAGATAGGGCAGCTGGTTCATAAGGCACCCAGTCAATCGTGCAACCAACCATCAACAAATTGCGCAACCAACCAACCAACAATTGTTTTAGAAAGGTTATGAAGATAGAAGAAAATCCACATTTGACGATGTAGAATTGTATACACCAACGCGAAATCATGTGCACCCTTGCAATGTTTCAAACAACCGAACGCATTATGTTGATGAAAAAACTAGAAAAACAAAACCATAAGCATTGGGGGTTCCGAACTCACTGCTTAGGCAACAAAGTATTGCAATTTTTTTATGAGAATAATTTTTTTTTTTTCGTTCTCGCTTTGTTTAATGTATGTTCATTGTCTTTTCAATTCCTTTAATACAATGTGTAATCCGTCTCTCTTGCAGGGCTCCTGTGGAACACATTGTCTTTGTTGCATTTAACAGTTGCGTCTGTTGTGCACTCACAAAGCGGTAAGTGCTTTCTCTCATGAAAGTTATTTTTTTTTTCTCTCTCTCGCTTTCATGTGTACAAGTTCGTCGGATTGGAATTTCGGACTCGGGATAGTGAGTCGTGACTAGGACTGGGTATTATGGACTGGAACTGAGAATGGGGACCGTGAGATTAAGAAGGGGGACTAGGAACTTGCCCTTGGGAATGCGACATCGAACCCGGGATTTTGGAGGGGTTGCTGACTCCAAAATCCTAGTGAAAGTCAATGGGTCACATGTTTGGGTTCACAGGTATGGGTTAGGGTCTGGATCTCGTGTCGCGGTGAAAAGTCAGGGTCTCTTTTCAGGGTCATGGGTATGGGTGAAAGGTCTGGTCACATACATGGTATCTATGTGGGGATCCGTCTGAGTTGTGATGATTCAAGATGCTTAAGGATGCTTAAGGATGTGCCGCACAGAGGTCGGTTTTGGATCAGGGTATGGGTCACAGGTGTGCTCGTAATGCTTAGGGTTCGGTTCACAGGTCTGGGTCAGGATCGAGATCATAGGTCTGAGTCACATGTGGCTTCCTTCTCAGGGGCCTGTTACCGAGAGAGAGAGAGAGAGAGGATAAAAAACTTATATTGTCTTGTAGTCTTAGACGCCCAACTATGTCTAAATCCAATGCTTGGGACACAGTCTGGCCGTGCTATATCGACTTGCTGGAGTGAGTCCTAGCATGGACTAGTGAATTCTCGTTTGAGGTTTGGACGGGGGTCTGGATCTGAGAACTCGCACTGAGAACTACATATGCATCTGATGTTTGCAAGCAGGTTAGGTCGTCTGTTTCGTAATGCCTCCCTTACCTTTTATGTAGGGTCGCTTTCTTGGATCTAAAGGTTTTGAATCTGACTACCGGTCTGGAAGCACCTTTCAATTCGAGGTTTGGAATCGGTTGAGGATGGGTTGTGTTGACCAACCGATGTGCATCCGCAACTGTCCAAGTCTTACGTTTCCAACACGGTATCGACACAGAACTGCGGGTCTGTGTTAGAGGTTTGAATGGGGATCTCGAGCTGACAAGTCGTATAAGCTTTGTGACAGGTTAAATAGTGCAGAGATTGTGGTATAAAAATAAGTTGTCATAATTTTCAGTCCGGCTATAGACTATGAGAAACTCAAATCAGCGTGAGTCTGGAACGTTGTCTGCATTTTATGCCTGTTTAGGTCCTGTGATTCAATTCACGCTCCAAAATTCTTTGTGGGGTTGCCGAAATGAGTTTTTACATAGTATTGTGGGGGCCCTTGAAGATAGTTTGCGTTTCTGAGTAATCTTTGTGTGTGTTTGATTCTATTTTATATGTCATCCCCCCTGAAGGGTAAGCAGCGATGGTTCGCTCAAGAGGGGAGCAAACTTCTGGGGTAGACAGTCAGAGCAAGGGCAGGGAGTTGGTTCCTATCTCCGATATTGTGGAATGTCAAAATGCTCCACCTGCAGCAGAGGTGGCTGGCAAGAGACCGGGCTCCTCTGCTTAGGGAGGTGGGGACCCAAGTGAGCTAAAATGTCCGGCGGAGATGTCTCCGATTGTTTTCGAGTACTTTACACAAATCCTCCGCAGCCTTGGAAATGAAACATCTGACAGGTGCAAGGCACAAGCAGAGGTAGAGAATGAGGTGCGTGAATTGAGAGACACCCTGAATGATGCATTGGAGCGTTTAAAGGCGATGGAGAAGAAAGTGGGGGAGAAAGGAAGCGTGGCTCCAAACAAACCTAATTATCAAGGACTGTCATTGGAAACGACAAGGGAGTTGTCATCGCGTTAAGTGGAAATGGGCAGGAGCACAAAAGGAGAGGGAGGAAAGAGAAAGAGGGACCAGGTGGAGAAGAAGGGGGAGGAGGTGGGGAAGAAGGGGGAGGACGTGGGGAAGAAGGGGGAGGTGGTGGGGAAGATGGGGGAGGTGGCGGGCACAAAGGGGAGACAAGCTTTTTATAATGAGCCTCGCGAGGATAGAGGGGTGGTTGGTATGAAGGGACTGCTGGACAAACAAAAAAAAGAGTTGGACCAACAAAAATTTGACATGGTTGAAATGGGAAAGGAGATGGCATTGATAAAGGTTCAGTTGGAGGAAATTGCAAACAATGATAAAGGAAAAGAGAAGATAGGCGAGCCACAGAGGAAGCAAAAAGAGGACTTATGGCAACAAGTGGCTGAAATGGAAAAGGAAATGACATTGTTTAAAGATCGCTTGGAGGACATTGAAAAAAGAGATGAAAAGAGAAAGATGGAGGAGGCATGCCAGGAGCAAGGACAGGAGCCACAAGATCGGGAGGTGGGGTCGAGTCAACTGCAAGGAGAGCCGCAGGAGGAGCTGGGGAAGAGTGAGCCACATCAGCTAGAGGGGCAGATGCAGTGTGGCATGCAACAGGTGGCAAAAAAATGCCACTACTGCAAAGCAGACGGCCATTTGACCATCCATTGTGTTCACTACGATTTTGATCACAGTCACGGTTTCGTGCGATATGAACACAGAGGTGACAGGAATGTAGTATTTATCGATTTTTGGGGTGAGCCCATACATACATTCACGAAGGATGGGATACGGGCAGAATTGTACACGCATATAAAGGCTTACCTCTTCAGGACTTCTCCGTCTGTGCTGGCCGGATTCCGTGGCAGTGGCAGGGCTTGGTAAGCTTGGCACGGGCACTGTGTCAGGCATGTAAAACAAATATGAATTATATGTTCAGAGATTTATCGAATTTCCAACCTCAAGTACACTTAGCGTTTGGCTCTGCACTCTCGGTTTGTCTTGGGGTGTGGATGCACTTTTCATGTCTATCGAGATGGCGCTGCGGGTTAAGAGTAATCAGATGGTTTTCTTGCTGGCTGAGAGAGAGAGAGAGAGAGAGAGAGAGAGAGAGAGAGAGAGAGTAATCTGTAAGTGACGTTAGTTTCAGCACAGAATTGAGATAGCCCCGTGTCTATTTTCGTGTAATTTTGGACATAGCTTTGGAATTCAGCAGGGAAACTATTTTTGGACTGCGCTATTGTGACTTTGGTCTTTTCGCTCATCTCCATCTTCGTCTTGCTCTTCGTCCTCCCCTTCATCCGTACTTTCTTCCCATATGCTTGCTCAAGGAGGAACCTTTGTTCCATGGACGAGGCCCCTTCCTTCTCTCTCACGTGTGATGACTGATGGGGTGGGTCGAGTCAGTGTCAAACTGGTCAGATTATATGTCCGAGTTTTCCACTGCGCTGCATTATGCCAACTTTGAACGTATGTGGATGTACATTGATCGTCGATGCTTTGTTGATGCTACATTGATCATTCGAGTCCTTATGATCACTTTACTGGTCCTTTGGATTTGTTTACGAGGCTCAAGGCCTCGGTAAGCCCTATTGGGCCCTGTTTCGGTCAGAACGGCCGCCCTAAGTGAAGGCGGGGCTGACAAGGCACGAGAGGCCTGTTTTTGCTGGCTTGAACCTACCTGGG